CCTCTGCCCGGGCCAAACGTCACTCCTGAACCGAATGAAAAAATCAAGGGTCTGGCAGGCAATTGTTCCAGGCACACAAGCCAAGCCACAAGACACCCTTCGAATCAGGAAAACACCCTGGCACGGCGTGACGAAACAGCCTCCTGCCGTCCCTCTGCCGCCAAACGCCACTCCTGAACGGAATAAAAAAATCAAGGTTCTGGCAGGAATTCCACTGTTGGGGCACAGAGCGTTCCAGGCACAGAAATCTGTGCACCGAGCACCAAAGACACTTCGAGCTGGGATCTCCACAGAAACCTGTGCACCGAGCACCAAAAACACTTCGGGGTGGGATTTCTAGATAAAGAAGCAGTAGCACACCTTATGGCCACAATTGATACAACAGAACATACCATTTCGGGGCGCGCTCCCCCTTGCTGCACCACGGGGTCGGCGGATATAGCTGCACTTGTATGAGCTATGGCGTTGGGCCTAAATTCATATCCCTCATGCCCCCGAAGGACTTCACTGGGAAAGTGCGGGAGAATGTGAAGCATTACATTCGTTGCAGTCTCAGACAAGAGTCAAAGAGAAGGGATGTTTCGATGTTTTTCGGCCGTGCAGCTCACTTTCCAGGTGAGATGGGATGTGAGGCTGGGGGCAAAGCTGTGATCTTCGAGAAATGCCATGAGTCTCCGAGTGAATTCACTCAGGTGACTGAATTCAAAAGTGTGGACGAAGATGAGATCTTTGTTTTGTTTGGCATGATCGACAAAGAGAAAGCGATGGAGCTTGCAGATGAAGAGGAGGCGAAACTAAATTGACGACGTAGTGACTGAAGCATGCTGTCTCAAAGTGGCAGAGCATTCTGGTATTCTAGACCTAAGACAGGAAGGAAGGAAAGAGCGGAAACATGGAAGGTCTAAAACAAATAGACGAGGAAATGAAAGGATCGGATAACCCTGCATGTGAAGCTTTATGGGAGAGTAGAGCGAAAAGAAGAAGTGGAACAAGAAGAATGACAAGGGAGGGTTGTGTGTGGATGATGAGCGTAAATGAAGTGTATTGAGTGAGTGAGGTGAGGTGAGGAAGTAGAAAGTGTGGAGAAACGGAAGCAGAACCCGCATTCTCTTAAGAGCGATGGCCTCCCCCCTAGTAGCGATGGCCTCATGCTCTCGGTCGAGAGAGGCAAAAGTTGAGTGAAAGTGATGACTGCAAGTAAGCGAGTTTGAGTGTGAAAGTAAGCGAGCGAAAGTGTTGGTGTGAGACGCGTTGGTGGGACGGCGGACGGGATGCACAGTGAAAGTAAAGCCCACACAAAAGATATGGGGAACAAAGTATTGTAAAGAACAAGAACAGGATGAAAAAGAAACGACACGATAAGAGGGGGAAAGAAGAGGAATGCGTTCTTGTTCACAGTGAGGTTAGTAAAGGCCAACACCCGTAGAAGCAAGGGGGTGACAGAGCCAACTGAAGAAAGAGAAAACATTTTTTAGAATTTTGTGGTTCTGTTTTTCAATGCGTCCTTTCTTTTGTTGTTCCTTTCTCCTGATGTTTGTGATCTTGGACTGCTCTGGGTGACGCAGGCCAGAGCACGCCTGAAAATCACCGCTTACGATGCGTCCAACCTCAAATGTCCTACGGATGAGAAGGTTGGAAAGGCCCGGACCTCGGTTTGAAAGGTCTAAAAACGGTTGTTCCTTCCTCGTTTCCGTTTTTCAATCCCTGGGCCATATTCCTAGTAGCTTTGTTTGTTTGTTACGTTAGTAGCGAACATTGCTCCTAGTAGTAATGCCACGAGCCCCTAGTAGCAACCTGGCTCCCAGTAGCGATGCCCTTGTTCCTAGCAGCTCTTTTTTTTCTTAAGAAATCATTTAGGACAGTTTAGGACCAGTTCTTGTGTACAAATTTGAGCAAGTCAGCTTCCGCATCGAGGAATGGAGAATCAACCCGGTGATCGAGACTTTGAAAGGTGCGGTCGCTGACAATCGCTGCCCAGCTTTCGTGGGAGTGCCCAGCCACCTGCGATTGTACCATGCCATCCACCTGCGTCGTTTTTTTATTTTTTTTTTAATTTCAATATATTGAGGTGCGATACATACCTGCCCTTCATGATGTTGTTGAGGAGAGTTCAGGGAGGCACAACAAAACTTGTGGTGAACACCGTATGAGCACCACACACACTGCTTGTGGCGAAATCCTTTAGATAGCACTTTTTATGGCTTCAACCATTGCGGCTTCAAAGTCTGACACAGACGGCTGTCGATAGGTTGGAGGCCATCGCTAGTAGGTGGAGGCCATTCCAGTAGGTTTGTCGACTTCAACGATTCCAATGAAGTTGGACTAGGCACGTAGTGGTCGTGACGATTGCGCCTTGGTCCTCGTTCAGGACTTGGAGGACACCGAGATGCTGAGGATTCTACGTCATGCCCTCCGCAAGCACGTTCGTGTGCAACTCATGGAGCAGGAGGGGAATTCTCTTTCCTTTCTTGTTGCGATAGATGTATCATCAATTTGGTTGTCTTTAAACGCTTCCTGCGTGTTTCTTTTTGGGCAAACATGTTTTTTGTGTGTTTTTCATCCCGTTCAAAGCAGGAACGGCATGGAACGCCTTAGGTCCGAGGTTCAAAGAAGGTCTAACACGGTCTAAAGGTTTGTAAAGACAAGAAAGGAGGAAAGGAAGGAGGGAAGGAAGGAAGGAGAAAGGAAGGAAGGAGGAACGAAGAAAGAAAGGCAGGAAGGTCAAAAAGAGGGAAACGAAGGAGTGAAAACATGTACTATTAAAACTCAGACCACTACTCCTCTTACAATACTCTCTTTCTCCCCCTCCTCCCGATTACTTTCTACTATTCGCACAACCGCAAGCGCGTTGTTGCCCAATGCATTCGTCTGAAGTTTCGCTGAGAATAGCTTCTTGTTCCTAGTAGTAAGGCCAGGAGCCGGTGGTAGCTTCTTGTTCCTAGTAGTAAGGCCAGGAGCCCCTAGTAGTGTCCTTGCTCCCAGTAGTAAGGCCAGGAGCCCCTAGTAGCTTCTTGTTCCTAGTAGTAAGGCCAGGAGACCCTAGTAGCTTCTTATTCCTAGTAGTAAGGCCAGGAGCCCCTAGTAGCGTCCTTGCTCCCAGTAGTAAGGCCAGGAGCCCTAGTAGCTTCTTGTTCCTAGTAGTAAGGCCAGGAGCCCCTAGTAGCGTCCTTGCTCCCAGTAGTAAGGCCAGGAGCCCCTAGTAGCTTCTTGTTCCTAGTAGTAAGGCCAGAAGCCCCTAGTAGCTTCTTGTTCCTAGTAGTAAGGCCAGGAGCCCCTAGTAGCGTCCTTGCTCCCAGTAGTAAGGCCAGGAGCCCCTAGTAGCTTCTTGTTCCTAGTAGTAAGGGCAAGAGCCCCTAGTAGCTTCTTGTTCCTGGTGGTAAGGCCAGGAGCCCCTAGTAGCTTCTTGTTCTTAGTAGTAAGGCCAGGAGCCCCTAGTAGCGTCCTTGCTCCCAGTAGTAGGGCCAGGAGCCTCTAGTAGCTTGTTGTTCCTGTAGTAATGCCAGGAGCCCCTAGTAGCTTCTTGTTCCAAGTAGTAAGGCCAGGAGCCCCAGTAGCGTCCTTGCTCCCAGTAGTAAGGCCAGGAGCGCCTAGTAGCGTCCTTGCTCCCAGTAGTAAGGCCCGGAGCCCCTAGCAGCATCCTTGCTCCTAGTAGTAAGGCCAGGGGCCCCTAGTAGCTTCTTGTTCCTAGTAGTAAGGCCAGGAGCCCCTAGTAGCGTCCTTGCTTCCAGTAGTCAGGCCAGGAGCCCGTAGTAAGGCCAGGAGCCCCTAGTAGCTTCTTGTTCCTAGTAGTAAGGCCAGGAGCCAGTAGCGTCCTTGCTCCCAGTAGTAAGGCAAGGAGCCCCCAGTAGCGTCCTTGCTCCTAGTAGTAAGGCCCTTGGTAGCTTCTTGTTCCTAGTAGTAAGGCAAGGGGCCCCTACTAGCGTCCTTGCTCCCAGTTCTTGGAGCCCCAGTAGCGTCCTTGCTCCTAGTAGTAAGGTCAGGAGCCCCTAGTAGCTTCTTGTTCCTAGTAGTAAGGCCAGGAGCCCAAGCCCCTAGTAGCGTCCTTGCTCCTAGTAGTAAGGCCAGGGGCCCCTAGTAGCATCCTTGCTCCGTAGTGAGGCCAGGAGCCCCTAGCAGCGTCCTTGCTCCTAGTAGTAAGGCGAGGAGTAGTAGCATCCTTGCTCCTAGTAGTAAGGCCAGGAGCCCCTAGTAGCGTCCTTGCTCCTAGTAGTAAGGCCAGGAGCCCCTAGTAGCTTCTTGTTCCTAGTAGTAAGGCCAGGAGCCCCTAGTAGCGTCCTTACTCCTAGTAGAAAAGGCCAGGAGCCCCTAGTTTCCTAGTAGTAAGGCCAGGAGCCCCTAGTAGCTAGCGTCCTTGCTCCTAGTAGTAAGGCCAGGAACCCCTAGTAGCGTCCTTGCTCCGCGAGCGAGAAAAGGCAAGGAGAAATCAAGGAAATCTGCCATGCGCCCGGTTGGTTTGGAAAGTTGCAGGGCATGCGCAGGAATGTGCTGCTGTCTCCATGGCCAGTTCTTGCGTGAGTGCATTTTCTAGTTCTATTCATTTCCTTTTTGCGTCTTTTTTGACGGATGTGGCAGGCATGATAGATCCTTGGTGTTTTGATGGTTCTAAGTCCACTTTTCATAAGCTGTGCAGGAAATTGGACATGTCTTACAACGGTGTTGCGCGCAGCGTGCTGTAGAATTGCCAAGGAAAACAACAAGCCACTGAAGGTGCAGTACTTTTGATATGGTAATACCGTAATACCTGTCCGGTGTGGCTTGTTTAGCGATGCCAATGCATACTTAGCGATTGCATTCGAGATCCTGTCATAAAGAAACTGAGCAAACGCAGAAGTACGCCTTCTGAAGTTTCTCGCAACTGCAAGGGTCTATGCCAGTGCAGTTCTTGTGTTTTGGGTGGTAGGCTGCTAAAAGGGGTAGGAGAGCAGTGGTTTGTTTCCAATCGATTTGATTTGACTCAGGAGGAAGTTGTGCGACTCTTCTTCCCCATCCACAAATGGGAGGGGCTACAGGAGCTTCACAAGAGTCTTGACCGCAACGGAGGTGTCGTGTGAGACCTCTGTGGAATTATTCTTGACCTCTTTGAGGCGTGGGTGGAGCGATCCTTACAAACCCATTTACTTTCCAAAGGCGCCATGTTTAGTTGATCTTTTTTACTTTCTCTCTCTCTCTCTTTCTTAGGTTGGAGGCCATTGCTTTTAGGTTGGAGGCCATCGCTGGTAGGTTGGAGGCCATTACCATGAGGTTGACCTCTCTTCTGTTCTCTTCTCTTCTCTTCTCTGCACGGGGAACTCGGTATGAGAAAAACCCGGCACCTGCCGCAGTCGCATTTGTTCCAGTTGAACATGCCGGACAATGTGTCGGAGTACTTTGGTGCACACGTGGCAGCTTACTTCCATTTCTACAACGCCTTCACAAGGCCCTGCTTGAATTTCTGAACCTTGTAGGCTTTGCTTTTCCCTTCAGTATGCTTGTATACCTTTGTTTTTTCTTTAGACTTTTTTGGCATAAGTTTTTTCTATAGGTGGCTTGTCATCCCCGCTGTCTTCAGCGCCGCCTTTCCTTTCGTCCGCCCACACATTCCTACACATGAGGCGGCTGGAAGATACTTGCATCGCTCTTGTTCTTCCAAGTGATTTCTAAAGTTGAACAGAATTCAAGTTCAAGGATTGCCAACAGAGTTTGTTGAATTAAAGAATTCACCTTTGTTGGAGGCCATCGCTATTAGGTTGGAGGCCATTGCTACTAGGTTGGAGGCCATCGTTGCTTTCCGGCCAGGCTCACAGGCTGGACAGTTGCTTTGGCGGCTTCTTATGCATTTGGACAACGGTCTTTTTGGCTGCTCGAAAGCACTCGGCAAGCATCGCGCAAACATTGGGGACACGAAAGCGCCGCTCGCATCGCACGCACTTGCAACATTCAAGGCTCGCATGAAGCACACCATGAATGAGAAGCTACTGCGATGGGGCATGGGGGAATCAGTGCAGAACGTCACTCCAGCCTCTAGGATTGACTCAAGCAGAGCTCTAGGACTGACTCTCTCTCTCTCTATTTGCTTGGATTTTTGTTTTGTTGTTGTTGTCTGATGCCAATGCTGGTGCATAGAATACATCCAAGGTGCGGAAGAACTTCAAGGACTGGCTGTTGGCAAGCAAATTGTGTGAGATTCCATCAACATGCATAACGCTTCCCATATCTTCATGCAGGATGAACTGCGGGGCAGCTGCTCGGAAAACCTTCGCAACCTGCTACACTGGACCCTTGTGATCCTCTTTCTCAGTGAGACCGTCTTCTTTTCGCGATTCATTGCAAACTGGCGAGGCGAACTTTTTGAGAACCCCGATGGCATGACCTTTGGAATGCAGAACACAGATGCCGCAAAGTACTTCAAGTACTTGGTCACGGCCAACATCAAAGTCGTGGATGCAGTATGGACGCCTCTGTGCATCTACTTGACCAAACATGAGAATCATCGCACTGAGATGGCTTTGAAATCTGCGCTGATTCTGAAGCTATTTGCAGTCAAGTCGGTCCTCTTCTACTATCCTTTCATTCGTACCATATTCATCCAACCTCACGTTGAAGGATGTCCAGGTCCAGGCAATCATATCTCAGGCCTGGCCTTGATGCCAGAGAATGACTGGTTCAAGCAAATGTTATCGAATCAACAAATTTGTTGCAGTCCTGCTACAGGATGTTTGGATTCGTTGCGAGCCGACCTTCAGCTTTTCTTCATTACACAGGCCCAGAGGGTTTTTCAAGAGACACGGTGAACCGGTGAACTGTGAGGTAGGCATTGGCAACGTGGTCAGGTGATATCCGTGGGAGCTGGCTTGATGGTGCAGCTTGCCATGATGTACTGGACTGTTCGCAAAGAGCTTCAAAGGAAAAAGAGTGCGGTTCTCAGTGAAGTTATGATTACTTGACAGGATGAAATCATGAAGTGACCATGATAGATCTGAAGTTTGCCGCTTTTAGTGTAAGATGCTATCCCTCCGTCTCCTTGCTTTTGGATTCCTTTCAACACTTATCGACTGACAAGGCGATGATGGGAAGCTCTCGTATGTGGAAGTCCAGGAGGGAAGCATCAAGTGAAAGAGCTTTCAGTTCGCTTGCAAAAACCAACTTTTGGCTTCGTTGCAGCGGCCATTTTTGTGAGAGGCAATGCTGGCGGATTATGACGAAGAGGCAGAGGTTTCGGATTATTTGCAAGTGGTCCTGAACTTTGGCTTTTTGTCAATGTCAGACCCCGAGCAAAATGAACGCACGCAGTGGAACCAGAGAGCCGTTTAGTTGAGAATATGTATATATATATATATTTATAAATATCTGGGTTTCGTGACTTTCATGACTGAATCGAGGTTTGGCTGCGTTGCTCCTTCAATGTGCGTTTTGTGCTTCTTGTCCAACCTTCCAATGAAGAGGCCACACTGCAAAGCATTTGTTTGATAAGAGATCTACTTGTTTGTCTTTCTGGCTTTGCAACTCCCGAAGAGGCTTTTGGCCTTTCGCTTCTCCTTCTCACAGAAGCGTGTCGTCCCGATCATCACACATGGCCTTGGCTCGTGGGAGCTTATCTTGAATTTCATCGCCTACATTGGGGTCACTTTGACATGTTACATCGCGCCAGCCTGAGAAAGGACCAGCTGTCAGCTTCTATGTACACCAAAAGTGCTGAAGAAGTGCAGGAAATACGAATGACACTGCTCTTTGTTGCTAGTAGCGTCCTTGCTCCTAGTAGTAAGGCCAGGAGCTACTAGTAGCGTCCTTGCTCCTAGTGGCGATGCCCTTTGTTACTAGTAGCGTCCTCTTGCTCCTAGTAGCTTTCAGCAGGTCATCTTTGCCTACAACAGCTTGGACCTCGAGGACTTTCGCACACAGCTGCTCTTGTTCATTGCCATCGAACGTGCGTTCTTGTCTGCACTTGGCCACCTGTGGGAACACCACAGATCCTGTTTGTCAATTTAGATTCGTCAGTCAGTGTTTGTCAGTCACAGTCGCAGTTGTCACCGCCTTTGCTTTCAAATCGCTAAGGCAGTGGCAGTTCTGAAGCTCATGCTGACTCTCGTCTTTGGAGAAAAGTCCTTGGCCCAGGAGCGAATCGAGGAGCAGAACGAAGAGGCGAGAGGGCTTGAGGTGATGTTAGGTCGAGAGGTGCTGTGAAGTCCTGGGATTCGGGATTCAAGAGGGAGACAGGTTTGTTCTTTGTTTGGAAGGTTTTGGAGCTCATCGTCGCAAGTGAGATTAAGAAACATCATCAGCGCACGCATCCTTAGTGCTGAGATGTTTGCCGCTTAGCTTGGCCGGACAAAGCTCCCTGAGCTTGGGACGCAAAGCGTTGCTGGGCCTGACTGGAGGCTAAGCAAGCGTGATCGCTTTGGCTAGAGGCATCATTAGCGGCAAGCGCGTTTCTGGAGGGGTTGGAACTACCCGAAGAAAAGAAAACATTTCTACTAGTAACAAGAAGCTACTAGGGGCGCTCCTGGCCTTACTAGGAACAAGGTTCGCTACGAACGGAGCGGTCAGGGCATCGTGACGAACGGAGTGATCGGACCATGCACCTTCCGGCTTGCGCTGACCGATGGTCCAGAAAGGGCTTTCTTCCCCTCCACCGTAGATGCCTGCCCCGGTCTGGTGCTTGAACTCCAGGCTTCCCCTTTTTCAAAGGCCGGCTCTTCGGCTTGCTGGTACTTCAGATCCTTGGAAAAGATGTATGTAACTCCAGTCGGTATGTTTGTCGAAATCAGTGAAGGCTTCAAGCGTTGCTCCTTGCATTTTGCAATCTACCTTTGCATTACAGCTGTTCTGGATACGCAAAATTGCGACAGCACTCCAGGCGATTCTAGATAAGTGGAAGACACGTTACAAGCGACAGTTGTTGGAGAGCAATCTTTGGAGTAGTGACACAATTTCTTTTCACAACTGCTGAATTGTTAGATCAGGCTGACCGTGTCAATGCTTTTGAATCAAGCGCACACACACACACCCACACACACACAGGTTTTGGTAAAGAGATCAAATTTGTCGTTTCGTGCTAATGGCCGTTCGCGGTATGGCAGTTCCAGCAGGCTCCTGTATCTCACCTGAGCATTGATGGCATTGATCTAAATTTGGGTTTCCGTCAGATTCTGTAGACTTTCCATCGAATCTCACAGGAGCAAGTGCTGCACTTGTAGCTGCAGTGGCAGCTGACTACAGGCTGCTTTCTTCTGAGTTCCCTGAATTTTTCCCGGCTTTTTGTTTCTTTGTCATTTCCAAAGCAGTCTGATTTTCTCCTGCTGCAGCTGACCGTTCCGTGTAAAGGCTACAGTGGACCCACGATCTCTGGCTGGCTTGGAAGCTGGGGCCTATTCTGGTCGGTGGCCGCATGCGCCACTTGGAGCAAACAACAACCAGATGGGCCACAAGTTGATTGCTACATTGAGAACAAGAAGCTACTAGAAACAAGGGCATCGCTACTAGTAACAAAGGGCAAAACTACTAGGAGCAAGGACGCTACGAACGGTGCGCTTGCCCTACTAGTAACACGAAGCGACCAAACAGAGCACCAACTTTTGCGAACCCGACATGCGGTTGCGACCGCCATTCGGTTAGTAGACCTTTTCGAACCCGATGGAGCAAACCGGAGAGGGCAAACCCGGAAACATGTTGAGATTGGATGTTTTGGGCCCGGATTGGACGCTCAGTGTAGGCATCAGGACGGTACGGATTTACCGAGACTTTATGGCTAGATCATTTAGAATACTGAGACCCTACCAGGGCATTAAATCGAACATGCTGCCTCAACATAGAATGCAAGTGAAGGCACTAGCACTTGATCTATCCTGCTCGAAAAGTCTTGAACAATGGGCCCGCCAGCTGTGTTCAATCACCCAGATATACTCCTAGATGGTACAGGATTATGCGACTTTGATCCTTTCCCGTTGATTCTCACAGCATCACTGTGCTGGCCACACACGGGCACAAGGACAAGACGTCTAGGAAACTGAGATCGAATCAAATGAAACACACACACACACATATTTGGATGCGTATAGTTCTGAGGTATGAACTGGGACAGCCTGGCACTAAGCATGGCTGCATATCTCATGGACTCATAACCACAGGTCATCACATGTCATCACATGTCATCACATGTCTCACTCACTCTTGGTGTCAGGTTACAACATTGCTGACATGCCTGGCTGGCCAAACTTAGACACTTAAGGCGGTGATGGTTTGCGGGGTCTCAGCGCCACAGCAGTGCCAGGTGGAAGGAAAGTGTGCGAAAATTTGCACATGAGACGTTCACCATTTTTGAGCACCGGCGTCTGAGTTTTCAGGACAAAAAGACGACAGTGATGTATCACAATCAAAGGTCGAGAATGAACAAGAGAAATCCGTTATATGACTCATGGTGGCAGCATTTCTTGTTGCGACGTGTTCTCTGCAGGACTGTGACAACATCTCGAATCAAATGGCGCATTTCTTGCTCCAGCAAGGCTTGTGCCCTGGCCAGGCTGGGGAAGCTTTAGGGACAGGCAAGTACTTTTGCCAACTTAAAGACTTTCTCAGCGAGTGATTGAAGCTCCTTTCTTCGATTTGAGCATTTCCGTTTCAGTGAGACTGGACGAGGTTTGTGCACTCATGATGGAGAACAAGCCAGAGTTTGTTTGCTGGTGGCTTGGCATGGTGTGGGGCCCAGATGATGTGTAGATGCAAGAGCCCAAAGGGCCTTCTAAAAGCCTCTTCGCTTTGGAAAACGGGGCGTTGAAACAGCGACCTGTCCACATGTCGCGACATCTCAATCTGAAAGAGTGGTGTCCTTTTTGAGGCAAAGATCGGTGTCAAGGCAGGTGTTGCTGGAATTGCTTTTCCTCTCGCTCTCTCTCTCTCTCTCTCTTTCGCTTTTGCGTTTCTTTTCATCGGCCAAAACGAGCAGTTGGGACATGATCGTGTGATCAGGGGCTCGCTTTCTTGCCAGGTGGCCATGCTGAACTACAATCTGACAGGCAAGCAACAGCTGAAGCACAGTACTGGTTGTACTGAACAGACATGACGTGTAGCTATAAAAGACACGACGAGTAGCAAGATAGTACCCGGAACGGAACTTTTGTGGATTACTTTTTATTTCAGCAAGCGAGAAACTGCTGTCATTGTACAGAGGCAATGCATACTCAAGCGAACTGCGAGTGCCTATCATTAATAATTCGCAAGGCGTTTAGGAAGGAGTGGCGATCCAGAGATCATGACTCAGCAACATGATTCGCGTCCTGTGAGTGCGATTCCTGATAACTGGTGCTCCGTGATAAATTACAAGGTTAACCGATATTTTCCTAAGGGGTCTTCAAGGGCGTATGCTGTATGAAAGCAGTTGCAGCATCTTACAGCGGGTCAGTCGTAAATGAACCGCAGTACAAAGCCGATTACACGCAGCCGATTACACACAGCTTCCCTGCGCGCCGATTCGGAATTCATCCTGAAGCTTCGTGGTTGGGATCTCTCTGCGAAAGACGTTCCAAAAGCTGCCAGGCCGGGGCCTAGCACATTGTGTCTCAGTGGCAGAATGCTGCGCCCTGATCTTTGACGAAGGAACAGAGGTGAGTTGCAAAGCGTCGGCTGCACTTGGTACCCAAATGAATGAAGATGAAGGGAGCACGGTGCTTCGATGCTTCGCACATGTGATGAGTTCTTAAACATGTACAGATCACGTGCAGAGCAGTGCAGCATCTGCCTTCCTGGACATGGCGACTCAAAGCTGGTTCGCTTGACGTGTCAGGTAAACCTTCACAGCATGGATAGTCAGATCAAGGAGACTGGCCTTCAGCTTTTCTGCTGGGGAGGCAACCAGACCACACAGAGGGACACACATGTTTAGAACTGGGGCAAAAGATGCTTTGTTTTTGACATTTTAGCGATGGCCTCCACCCTACTATCGATGGATGCCTCCAACCTACTGGCGTTGGCCTCCACCCTAAGAGCGATGGGCTTCATCCTACTCGCGATGGCCTCCAACCTACTCGCGATGGCCTCCCACCTACTAGTTTATTTTTGTTTGCTTTGAGGCAAGCCTCATCTGAACTTCTCTACAACACCCACTGTGGTGGACTACGACCTGCTGCTGAGCTTCCCATATCGAGGCACAACGCGTGCGACCCGTCCCTTGTCTCAGTGTTTCGGATCCGAGCTGAGACTCCGAACAGGTGATTTTGTTGAACTTCGCAAAGGCCAGGCTGGGTTGAAGAACCTATGTTCCCCTCGTTCTTTCTTTCTCTCTCTCTCTCTCTTCTCTGTCTTTCTTCCTTCCTTTTCTCAGTCTGGTGCATACTTCAAGAACCAGACGAGGCATCAATTTCACCGATGTCTTTGGGTTCATCTACACCAGTGGCACTACAGGCTTGCCCAAGGTGGGGCAACAGAAGAACACAAAGTCCTAGCTGTTTTCCTCGACTCAAGGACAGGAATTGACATCGAGACGTACTTCCTTTTTTTTATCATGTTTTCCCCAGTAATGGCATCAACCGATTTTCATCAGTGCCAGCTTTTTCATAGTTGTTTTCTTTGTAGTTATTTTCATAGCTATTAGGAACAAGTGCCTCGCTACTAGCAACAGGTGCCTTACTAGTAGTAACAAGAAGCTATTAGAAACAAGTGCCACGCTAGTAGTAACAAGTGCCTTACTAGTAGTAACAAGAAGCTATTAGAAACACATTGTCCTTTCGATGTGTTTAGGCGGCCAAAGTGACCCATGCCCGGATGTATGGCTTGGGCGGTGTTAGCCGGCTGCTGGCCCTCCAACCAGGTCGTGGTGTGTTTCGAATGCGAAGAACCGCTAGAAGTGCGTCATGAGCTCCTGAAAAGGTTGGCCAAAGTCTTCCAATGGGTTTCATGACAACTATGAAGTGGGCACAACAAGGACGCTATTAGGGGCTCTTGGCCTTACTACTAGGAGCAAGAGGACGCTACTAGGGTTACGAACGGGGCAGTGTAAAGCTGTAGACTGTGTTGCAGTTTCAGGTGATGTGCTGTACACTTGCCTTCCTCTTTACCACACTGCGGGCGGTGCTTTGGGAGCTATGTCTTGCTTCTTGCCGGGGTCCCTCAGGGTCTTAGAATAAGAGATGGACAGAAAAAGACGGTCTTTGGGATGCACGCCCTCCCATTCAATGGATGCACTTCTTGAATCCATTTTTTTTACATGTACAGAGTACAAAAGATAGTAGCTTCTTGTTCCTAGTAGCGATGCCAGGAGCCCCTAGTAGCTTCTTGTTCCTTGTAGTAAGGCCAGGAGCCCCTCTTGAAATCATTTTTTCACCTATTTTTTGAGACCGTTGTTGAGACCCTTGGGATCTTTTTGTGTCCTTCGCTTCTCAGGTCTGGGGCCACCATGGCTCTGGCCAAGAAATTCAGTGCTGCTCGATTTTGGAGAGAGATCTCCGAACAGCGATGTACCGTCTTTCAGTACATCGGTGCCTTCGAGGAAACAATGACCATGTGACTCCATACGCAGATCGCAGTGCTCACTAGTTGACGGAGACGACTGAGTACTACTCCAGGACCTCATCTTAGGCAGGCCTCTTTCGACCACTTGCCCATGTTGAACTTCACAAACTACCCTTTAATTTCACTTCGAATCGAGAGGAGCTAAGCCATGAAAAAAGAGAAGAAGATATGAGAAGAAAGCCTTATCTTGTTTCTAGCACTAAATGCCTCATGGGTCGACCTGAACGCATAAGGCGAACTGGGCCGATACTTGGTGAACTATGCAAGGTGTGCCTTGGAATCCGCGCGGAATCTGGAAGCACGGAGCAATGAGCAAGGAAGCTACTAGGTGGAGGCCATCGCAAGTATGTTGGGAGGCCATCGCTACGAACGTATCAAGAAGCTACTAGTAACAAGTGCCTTACTAGTAGTAACAAGAAGCTATTAGAAACAAGGGCATCACTACTAGGAGCAAGAAGCTACTAGGGGCTCCTGGCATCTACTCAGCCTAGACAGATCCATACGGATGCCTCTACTGATAGACCTTGGAGGTTTTGATGTGCTCCCTTGAACAAGACTTCCAAGAGCAATGGTGTCCAACCTAATAGCGATGGCCTCCACCCTAATAGTGATAGCGATG